GCGGGGGAGATCGCTATCGCGCGCGCCGACGGTTGCAGAACCGTCGGGCCAAGAATCGGTGCGAGAGCCTCCTTTATAACGGTGGCCACGCACCTTGGGGCAATGCAAGGGTGACTACGCAACTGCGAGCGCGTGCTTCCGCGCCTGCCGCAGCGTCGCGGCGGGCGCCCCCTCCTGGATCTCGGACGCGCGGCGCGCGCCATGGCTGAAGAGTCGCGCTCGGTCGTCGCCGGCCCGGCGGGGGGCTGGGCGAGGCACCTCGAGAGGGGGGGGGGGGCTCCGCAGGGGGCTGATCTGGAAGGGCCAGATCGACGCAGACGCGATGGTGGCGCAGCAGCTGGCGGCGGCCAGGAGGGCGCCGCACTGCCCGAGGGAGTTGAGGATGCCGCCAGGAGAAGCTACCACGATCGCCGAGCGGAGGGGAGGCGGCGCCCGTCGACGGGCAATGGCGTAGCTCCGCGGAGATGCAGGAAGGCCAGCTGCGGGCCGCGCGCCGCGGCCACCTGGCGCAGCCGAATCGAAGGGCAAGCAAGACGCGCGGGCGGGCGCGGCGATGGCCAGCCTTGCCAGCGACGACGGAGAGGAGGCGCGGCGCTGGGCGGAGTTCGCGAAGCGGGCGGGAGCGCTAGCGGCGATTGCTGGTGCACCGTGCACGGCGAGGGTGGGCCCCGCCTGGACAGGGCTCGCTAAGGCGGGCTTCAACTGGGCGGCGATCGAGGTTAACTGCACGGATTTTGGCGATGCTGCGGCCCGGCGCAGGAGGATTGCGATCGCTGTCGATGGTGGAGCGAGCCCGCCAGCTTGAGACAGGAGCAGGCGGAGTCGATGGGCATCAGCTCATGCGCAGCCAGAATAATGGAGGCCGCGAGGCTCGGGCAAGACGAGGGCGAGCTGGCGCTGGACACCCGCGCGCCCGTGCGAAGAGGACACAGCGGGGCTCGGCCACGCGGGCGCCAGCATCCCGCGGGAGGCGGCATCGAGGAGGTCGTCCACGCAGCGGAGGGGCCCGCCGTGGGGCTGCGAGGAGGGGCGTTCAGGAGGGCTGCCAAGGGAGCGAGTCCGAGCTCAGCGCAGAGGGCGCGCGGAGGCTGGTGGTGAACTCTCTGGCGGCGTTCAGAACGGCAGTGGCCGACGGGGTGAGTGAGGAGGCCCTCGCAGGCTGGGCGACCCGCTCGGCCCCCCGGGGCATCTCTGAGGCCATTGTCGAGAAGACCTTGGCGCAGCTGGAGCACGTGAGAGGTCGCTTTTGGAGGTGCAGGATAGCGCGCGCGGCCTCGGGCGCGCGGCGCTTTCGAGCGCGGCCAAGAGCGCGCCGCGAGTGCCCGGGGGTCTGATGGGGCCAGGCTGCAGCCAACAGGCGGTCGGAGGAGACAAATTGCGGGGCGCTTTCGGGCGAGGGGGGCGCCGTCCGAGCACGCGTCGAGGGGCCGGGGGCCGCGCGCGAGGCCCAGGAGGGCACCGCCGCGAGCTCGGGGGGGCACCCGCCACGGAGGACCGAGAGCGAGGGGGCGAGAGGAGCGACGGCGCGGGAGCGGCAACGCTGCCTCGACCCGAGCTGCGGGCGCGTGGAGCACTCGCACCCGCGGCTGCTCATCGCGGAGGGCGGGGGGCCGGGCCGCCGCCGCTGCCGCCGCCGCGCGCGCCGCGGCCACCGCAATGAGGCTGGGGGGGGGGGGGGGGGTCGGATAACCCGCGAGTTTGTCAAGCATTGCGAGAAAGGCCTTGACCGGCGAGAGCCGCAGCGCCCCGCCGCCGAGGGGGGCGGGCGCAGGGCCGCGGAAGAAGAAGAAGAAGAAGAAGAAGAAGAAGAAGAACAAGAGGAAGAAGAAGCACAATGTCACTAAGAAGAAATATAAGAAGAAAACGAATAATAATGGCACTAAAGATAATAAGTAGAAGAAACAACGAGTGGGCGGAGGCGGCCGCGGGGGGGGCCCGTCGAGGCGGACCCCCGCCCAGCGCGGAGATGCCCCTGCCCCCCGCGGCGCAGGAATCGGAGGATGAGCTGCGCCCGCCACCTGACGTCGCGACGCCGCTCGCGCGCGCGCGGAGAACGACGGGGGCCACAAGGTCTGAAGGTACGTCCACCCAGAGACGCATTGGCAGATCAAGATAAAGCGGCGCGGCGAGACTGTGGACCACCTCTCCTCGCGGGTTGACTGCCGGGCGATGAGGGGGCGCAAGGGCGCCGAAGTCGAGCGCAGGATGCGGCCCAAGACGAGGCTCGGCAGGCCCGTGGACAGGTTTCTTCAGCGGCGCGAACTTCGTCAAGACCAGGCCATCTTCATCCACGGGCGGGGCGCGGTTCTGATCGGGCGCGGAGAATCCCACGGTCTCGGGGTGGCCAGTCGCATCCGAATCAACCTGGCGGGAGATGCGCCCTGGGTCACCGACCGCATCCCGGGATATCCTGGGCGCCCTAGCGGAGAGCGCACGCTTCGTCGACGCGGCGGCGAAGGATGGGGGGGGGCGCCAGATCCGCAGCGCTCGCGCGGCCTCCGCGGAGCGGGGCAGGCCCTTTGCGGCCGCGTAGTGCGAGCCGACCTGGGGGGGCGCCGCGTCGCCGGGCCGGTCGCCTCTGCCGATGCCCGAAGAGGCGGACTGGGGCGATGGGATAGAGCAGGACGAGCTGGAGGTCGCCCCCCGCCCGAGGCCGGAGCAGGGGGGCGAGGGCGGAGGAGGCGCCGCGCCCCCAAGCTCGGAGGTCCGCGATGACGAGGACACTGCTGGGGAGCGTCGGACGGCCGAGGAAAGGGGGGCGATGGCGGCCCACCTCGAGACGCTGGAGGGGGGCCCAACTGCGCCCGCTAGCGGGCGCAACTGCAAGTGGTTCGGAAAGCTCGGACGGCACCAACCTGGAAGCGGTCTCCCGGCACGTCGACGCGATGATCAGGACGGGGAGGGCCACGGGGCATCATCGAGCATCCCGCCGCATCTGCAGATGCTGGCGAGGCGCGGCCAGGACGACGGTCGGAGGAACGGATCGCTGGAGCAGCGCGAGGCGCAAAAGCATCTTCAAAAACTGGCGGCGATCCGGGGCTACCTGGACCAGCGGGCGGGGCGGCCAGACTGGGCCATAGATGCCTCGATGCCCGAGGAGGCGGAGGCTGGGAAAGAAGGAAGAGTTCGGGAAGTGCAGGTAGCGGCTCCGCCGGACCTGCTCGGCCCCGAGGACATCGCAGCTCAGGCGAAGCCGGAAGACCTGATCCTGGCGGACTCGAAGACCAGAGAGGACTGGGAGAAGGCCGAGCTGGAGCTTATTCTGGACAAGCGAGCTCCACGCTCAAGTCCCACGGCCTGGGCTGGCGGTGGTGGGCCCTCTTCTGTCGGGCCCGTGGTATCAGCCATCTGGGGGGTTGACCATGGCCAACAAGAAAAATGACGACGAGCTGCAGCCGGGGTTCGTCATGCACCTCGCAAGGCGCGGACAAAAGAAGGCGGGCACCATCAAGCAGCACCTGAACGCGATCAGGAACCAGCATCTGGCCCTGGGCTGCACGGACCTGACGGCGGGCGCGGGGAGGCTCTTGATGGCTATCGACGGCCTCTGGAGGCGCGACGGGGCTCGGGATAGGAAGAATCCAGTGACGCCGAGGATGATGAAGTGGATCAAGAAGAGACTGCAGCCAGAGAAGTGCCGAGGACGTGCGGTTCTGTGGGCGGCGATGGCGACAAGCTACTTTTCCTCCTGCGGGCCAGCGAGAACGTGTCAGGCGACCAGAACGGCTACACGGGCAGCATGGGCTTGATGGGGAATGGGCGTCACACCTAAGAACGCGGGCAAGCCGTGCAGGAGCTGGCCCGCCGCGAATGAGGTAGTGATCAAGATCTGGGCCAGCAAGATGGACCAGTACTACCGCGGCGAGTGGCGCATCTACTCAGTCGAGGCGGCAGCAGGAGCGGAGGCGGACGCGCACCTCGGCGTCGTGGAGGCGCTGGCCATCTAAGATGGGCCGGGCGCGCGACAGGCTCTCAAGCGCGAGGATGTACGACCCTCTATTCGCCATCGACGACGGCAGGCTCGTCACCTGGGCGGACGTCCAGAGGGTGGTCATGCAGGCGGCAGTCACGGAGAGAGTTGATCCCAATGAGCTGGGTTCCCGCAGCCTGAAGATCGGCGGCGCGTCCGCCCTGTACGCGGCGTTCGAGGACATCGCGCTCATGCAACGGTGGAGCGCTGAAACAACGACGCGCTCCAGGGCTACATGTGGAAGTCGAGGGACATGACGGAGGGGGGGGCCAGCAATATGGTGGCCACGGATCTCACCATGGTCTGAATGAGGAGCAGAAGGTGGCCGGAGGGGCCTCTGAGGCTGAGGGCGCGGGGCAGCCAGGCGACGGAACGGCGGCTGGGTGCGAGACGCTGGGGGAGCTTCGTGGGGCTTGGGCCCCGCGGCCCGAGGCGTGGGGGCCAGGTGGCGGGACGCCCCGCGGCCTCCAGAGGGCGGCTCGCGCCAGAGAGGCGCAGAAGGGGGGGGGGGGGGGGGCAGCGGCCAGGGCGCAAGGCATGAGATGTGCCTGCGCCTGGCCGACGAGCTCGCGCCCAGGATGAGCTGCTGGGCGTCGCCAGCCGCACAGGAAACATGCCCTCCTCCTCCCGCCTCTGTCATCGTCTGCGCCAGCATCGAGAGGAGGTGGGTAGGCGGCCTGAAGGGCCTGGTCGACTCATGTGCGTGCGCAATTGAGGAGGCCTGTCGGCCGTGATCCGCCTGCTCGCGTCAGGTGGAGATTGGAAGTGAAAACCTCCTCCTCCTACTCATCCTCCTCCTCCTCCTCCTCCTCCTCCTCCTCCTCGTCGTCCTCCTCGTCGTCGTCCTCCTCCTCCTCCTCCTCCTCCTCCTCCTCCTCCTCCTCCTCTCCTCCTCCTGGGGACAAAATCCTCCTCCCTCCGCTGGTCGTGCAAAGCGCGCTGGACGCGGCTTCGAGGCGTCCCCCAGCCTCGGGTGTGGGGAGGGGGCGCTTGGCGCCGGCGGAGAGTCTGCCGCCCGCGGACGCCCGAGGCTCGTGCTCTCGCGCGAATTTCCCAACGGCCCCCAGATCATGGGGGGCCCGGACGTACAGGGGAGGCAGAGAACACTCCCAGCCCGTAAGGCTTCGGGCTGCGCGCGGGCACTGGGCGTTGCGTACGTAATGAAGGGCAAGTAGCGGAGGGGGGGAATAAAGGTGCACCTGTCGTGCCCCCTCTGAGCCCCAGGGGGCTCCCTCAGGGCCCCCTTTGGGGCCCCTTTCCTACAGCCCTCTGTCCCCCCCTTCCCATCTGTCACCCCCCCATCACACAGCGCCCGAAGGCAGCAGCCCCAGGTCGCTCCGGCTAGCTTCAACAAGCCCCTCGGGCAGCCCATGGCGGCCTCAACATCCTGGCGCGCCTCTGGGGCGCCCTTGGGGCGCTTTGCGCCCCAGGGTTGAGGCATTGAGACTGTCCCGAACTACCTGGGATACTGTTTGTACGCAGCCCGAAGCCTGGCCAACTCCCACATGGCCCCCCTCCCCAGCCCCAGGAGGAGGGGGGCCAGGTGGGGGTGGGGGTGGGGGTGCGCTCTCTTTCCCCACAGACGTCCGACGATGGCTCTTTCCATGCGCGGCCGAGCCTCGACAAGACGAAGCCAAGACTGGAACAAGATCAGATCGAACAAGTTGGTGATCTGTGAAATCTGGCGGTTCTGGAGACTGCATCGGGCGCAGCGGCCGTTCCCGGTCCCCGCCCCAAGGAGCTACCGACCCCTTCCCCAGGGGCAGTCGTCCGTCCCCGATCCATGTCTAGTGGCCCTGAGGCCTGATGTAACGGGCCCAGAAGGCCGACATCGAGGAAGATCGCCAAGATTGCGCAAAACATATCGTCGGAGATCTCTGGGTGCACGTGGGCTGCCTCGCTGCCCCACCGCCACTTCGCGCTCGTGGCCGAAGCGGCGTTCCGTGGGCGCGCGTGCCTGCCTCACTGCCCTCACCGCTTCACGGCGCCCAGCCCTCCGCCGAAGAAGGGGCTGCTCATGTCGATCGGGCTGCTGCAGCGGCTCGAGTCGGAAGAGTCCTGTGGGGTCGGACGAGATGGGGGGGTAGTGAAGGGCGGGGAAACGATTAATTCATCTCACGAGGCTGGCTTTCCCAAGCGCCTCCTGGCATCATAGGCGCCAGTGCATCAAGGATCAAGGAAAGAGCCTGGCGGCGGGGCCGGAACCAGCTGCACGCAGCAGATTTTGTACCCCGTCTCGTCCGACCCTGTCCGGAGGGACGGGAGGAGGGACAGAGGAGGGACCAGAGGAGAGACAGAAGGAGGGACAGGAGGAGGCACATCGCAAGAGGAACAAGAAGGACAAAAGGAATAATTTGAGGATGGAGAGGAGAGGAGGAGGAGGAGGAGGAGGAGAAGGAGGAGGAGGAAGCCCCTGGGGCTCAGGCGTCTGCCTGAGGTGGGGCCCCCTGCTTGCACTTGCGAGCCGTTGCTTCCTCCCTGGCCTTCCCGCGCGCCATGGCCTCTACAGCCAGCAACGGGTCATCCAGGAACTGGCGAATGACCGGCAAGGCGTTGTCAAGCTGTGCAGCCACAGCGACAAACTCATCATGCAGAGCTGCCTGTTCCCAAATCCCACATCCGCTTTGTCGTGAAGCCCCTTCCGGTCCGCTTCGACGGTCTCTCTGTTGCTCCGCAGGCCATGCGCCCTGCGATGGTGGAGGGCCCCGAGCGCCAGACGCACGCCGAGTCCATCGGGTCACTCTTGGCGCACGAGGAGTCGTCCAGCGAGCAGTCGCATGTTGAAGGTGGCGCGGTTGGTTCGTTCTCTGTGGCGATGGAGAGCGGATCCTGTGCCAAGGAAGAGACAAATCTTGGTGTGGTGAGTCCCCAGCGGCACGGAAAGGCCGATGCTCCTCGGCAGCACAGCGAGAAGCATACATTCGCTCCGGGCATGGCCGCGCGCCTTGTCGGCCTCAAGGCCAGGCCACTCTAAACGTGCGCGAGGGCACCCTGAGCTTCTATGACGACGCAACTGACAGCTGGGCCTTCAAGAGTGGTCCTGAGGCCATTCGCGTCCAGACATCCTGTCTCGAGCCAATCGGCTGCCACACGAAGAAGTCTCTTGGCATTGCGTTCCAGACGGCCGCCTGCGAGCACCAACGTCGGTACCCAGTTGCTAACGACCAGGCGTTTCAGCTGTTGTGCAACCTTGCTGCTCAAGAAGAGCAGCCTGGGGTAGCAGCGTTTGCCCTGCCTTTATTCAGCGACAAGACCACCTTCGACAAGATGTACTGCCACATGGCCGCCAGGAGCACTGAGATCGTCTACTAGTGAGTGTCGCTCACCAGTGTTCTTGAGGTGCCGAATGCATCCGTTTATATACCCGATACGCTCTGCCCCACGTCTGCTGGGTTGCGCTTCGTATCAAGGCTGCAAGCGTGTCACGGTTGATGGGGTTGCGCCTCCAGTCAGGGTTTCTTGTTTCATGTGCTACTCGATCCCTCGGGCGAGCGTTATGTTTCCAGTTCCTTCGGGCGAGCATTGGCTTTGATTTCATTGCGTGACGCGGGCACCTCAGACGTTCGTCTTCAGGGCTGTAGGAAAAAGGAGGGGGGGGAGGAGGAGGAGTCTGTCTGTCTGTCTGCCTGTCTGTCTGTCTGCCTGTCTGTGCCATTCGAGCTCCAATCTCTACTAGCACCAACCAACCTGCTGTTTGTTCTTGGCCTGGCAGCCAGAACTCTTCCTCTATGGGGCGCTCACACTCCCGATGGGGCCCCGAACGACTTACAGGGGGAGACAGCGGGGCCGCGGGAGCGGCGAAAGGTCGGCCGACCCTTGGTCAGGGAGCCCCACGCGGGGCGGGCCCACGCGCTGCGGGAGGGAGCCAGTCCAAGCTAGTTCGAGACTGCGGGGGTGCAGGGGCCACTTCCGCACTCCCGAGAGCGGCTGGGGCCCAACTCCATCCCTCAACCTCTGCGGGTCTACTTGTCTGGCATGACCAGACGCGCAGGTTTGCCTCGGGGCGCTCTTCCAGGCATATCATTGAAACCTGAGGCCCTGGAAAGCTGATGCAACAGATTCTCGATTGTCACGATCCTACCTCCTCCCTCACTTGCCTCGACCTCGAGCGGGGCGCGGACGACGCGAGCGGCGGCCGTGTCCTTTGCCTCCTTTTCCGCGCCCTCGTCCCCGATAGTGTCCTACATCAACTTCTGCTCGCCGGAAATGTTCTTGGCCCTGGGCGCGAAGTCTTGGGGTGCCATAGATCCCGGCACCTTTACTGATATCCTACTGATCGCCTGGTCCTGGGCTTTCGAGGTTCCGCATTCGTTGATCCATGGGCCGGCCGCGGGCGCGTCGCTCTTCGCCATCGTCGGCAGCAGTCGGTCTGGCACTTGACGAAGATGGTTGACTGACTGCTGCTGGGCGCCCTGCTGCTCGAGCCAACCGCTGAAAACGCTCAGAAGTCTAGCAGAATTCTGCGACTCTGGCGGTCCGAGGCCGCGCGCGTTGGCCTTCCCCCCCTTCTTCTGGCACTCCCAACACGTCGTCTTGAACGCCGTGATTTTCTAGTCGTCGCTGGGGCCGTGCACCGCGAGACCCGCTGCGAACTCCAGCAACCGAATCCTCGACTCCAACTGGCGCGGCAGGTTGGCGCTGGCGCGCGACTCATCGTTCTTCTCGGCCTTGCCCTTCTTCGCGTCCTGGGTGTTGGCCTCTACGTCGTCTGTGCTGCGCTTGACAGCACTGGGCATGAGGCAGTCCGCCATCTCGTGCCTCTCGTGCTTCCTGCTCCGCCAGTCTGTCGAGAGCCTGCTGATATCCTGGAACCTCGAGCTCTAGAATGTGCGAGTGAGGGCGCGGCTGAAAATGCTCGTGGAGAATATGCCGACGGAGGTCACCATTGTCGATCCCCACATGTTCGCAAGCTGGACAATCAAAAGCTTTCGGCAAGATAGCTGTGCCATCTGTTCGTCCTCTGTCCGCGTAGCAGATCCCTCGAAACACACTGTTGTGCGCGTGTCTCATGGCATACTCAATGGTCGAGAAGTGACCCAGAAATCACGCACTGGCTGGACATGCAACAAGTTCGGGCCAGGAGTTGCTTTCCGCGCGTTCCCCCTTTCGTCTTCAAATTGTACGCGGCGAGCTGCTCTTTTGTCTGGCAGCGTTGCCCGCGCCCCTTCTCGCCTCCTCTCATGGCCGTGCATTTGCGCGGTTCTCCTTTTCACTATCTCCTTCTGTGCATGCTCGTGCTGTGCGACGTTCAGGAAATCATGCGCCCTGGTCCCTCTTGTGCCCAGCTGCGCGAAGTTCCCCATCCCCTCGATGGTATGTCCTCCAACCCACGTGTTTCCAGTGGCCTAGCTCCGTCGTCGAATAGCTCTATGGTTATGATGTCTTCGCATATCTGCTCGCGACATGGGTTCGCTCTTTCGTTGTTACTCCAATACTTGTCTATGTCGTTTTCTTCGTCGCCCCAGGAGCGCCCGAAAAATGCGGCAATAAACTGGGCGCAGCTGTCGTGCTTTTCTAAACAACGCCGAAGCCATCGGAGCCTTCGAACCCTCATCTCGACGCGCGCGGCTGCTAGATTGACTTGTTGGAGAACCTGAAGATTGGACAACGTTCGCACTCTGCCGTCTTCTTTTTCATGGGCTGCTCCTCGCAACGCTAATGTTGCATGCGTTGCGAGGAAACTGGGGATGGGATGCCCGTCGTTTGCTCGAGTGAGCCCAGCCTTGGCGCAGAGGACATCTGCTCCGCTGAAGCATGCATTCGCCGCGTAGCCCTTGAATTCCGACAGGTATCAGAACCGATTGAAGCGAGGGGCGGCGCGCCTGAGTCCCCGAGGGCAGGGGCCTCGGCAGCACGGTGAAACTGGCCAACGGGGCCATCTGTCAGACCAAAGGGGGGACCTCGGCTCGAGCGAGAGACGCGACAGCGGAAGGAACTCCTCCCTGCGGGGCCGTAACGGCATCGCTGGAGGCGCGCATTCCTACTCTCGCGGCCTCGGTCAGCCCAGGCACGCCTGGCAGCGGCAGCGGCGTCGCATGCAGCGACTCGCCCAGGCTGCGTTCCTCGGTCGTCGCACACAGAGCTACCTGCCGAACCCCTGCCGTGGAGCTTCTGGTCTCCAGAAGCGGGCGGGACGAGACCCTGGGCCGCGCGCCTCGGTAGCAGGAGCTCTCGCAACCACAGGAACGCCGGCGATGGGAGAGTGCGGCCCACGGGCGGTGGAGGCAACGGGGCCTCGGCCTCTCCACCCACCGCGGCGGCGGCGGGGACCGCGACGTCGGCGTGACCTGGCAGGGGGTGGCAGCCCCTGGCTAGCGGCTAGGCCCGAGACTGCCTGGGCAGGCGGCGCCAGGCGCCTGGCCCCAAAAACGACCCGCTTGGGCTGGCAAAGCCTGAGACGACTCGTCCGCCACGCACGCGTCGCGAGCGGCGCGAGTCGGGAGAGTCATCCCCCCCTACATCGCCAAGCTCCGCCTGAGCTGGCGCAGCTGAAACGGGCTCCTCGCCGAGCACGCGTCGCAGGCGGCATGGCCCGGGAGCGAACGGGGGTGGGGTAGGCCAGCGGTAAAGGTCGCTGCGGATGGCAACGGGTTGAACAACGGCACAACCGCCACCTGAGCGCCCGCACCACCTGGAGAGGAACCCGCTGCAACCCCTGGCACGTCAACAGTGAACGACCGCGGCAGGTCGTGATGGACCAAAGGAGCCAAACCACCCCGAGGGGGCCCTGCGCTCGCAGCGGAGGCTCTCGGAGCAGTGTCCACCAAGGTCGGGGCTTCGGGGCTGAGCCAAGCAGGGGCGCGGTTGGATCCCCGCGTGCCTCGAGCGATCGCGGCAGGTCGCGACGCCTCGAGCGAACCGCGCCGCTCGCATGAAGCCCTGCGCTTGCAGTAGAGGCTGACCGGGCGGCATCCACCACCCCCAGGGCTGAGCATGGCCAGGACGCGGGGGGATCCCCACGCAACCCGAGCGACCGCAGCAGGTCGCTAGCATCCGCCAACACCGAAGTTGGACCAGCCAGGGCCGCAGGCGGAGCCCCACGTGTCCCGAGCGACCGCATGAGGTCGCGAGGCCACGAAGGCGCCGGACCGCTAGCAGAGGGACCCTGCGCGTGCAGCTGAAGCTCTCCAGGCAACGTCCGCTGGCGCTGGAGCTGAGCCGGACAGGAACGCGGAAGATCCCCCACGTACCCCGAGCGACCGCAGCAGATCGTGACTGCCTGAGCGAACCACGCCGCTCACAAGAGGCCCTGCGTTTGCTGCGGGGGCTCTCCGGGCAGCACTCGCCAACACCGAGGCTGAACCCGGCAGGGTCGCAGGAAGATCCCCACGAACCCCGAGCGACCACGGCAGGTCGCGAAGGGTCGGGCGAACCCCTCCGATCGCATAGGACTCAGCGCTGGCAGCAGGGGATGTGCAGGTAGCGTCCTCCAGCCCCGAGTCAGTTGTAGCACCGACCGCGCAAGGGCAAAATGACTGGGCTGCGCCAGTGCCACTTCCCAAGCCAGCGAGGCCAGACGGTGGGGCCGCACGCGCGCCCTCGTAGGATGACCCAAGGGCCAAGCCCGGCGGCGGACGAAGAGGCCACCCTGGCAGAAAGCTCCCAAGGGGAAGGACCGCGGCGGCCGACGCGG